TCCCTGCAGCGGGCTGGCACACGGGGGGGCGGGGGGCCATGGCCGCGGACATGGTCCTGAGCCACCGGGCACCGCACAAGGTGCTGAGCGAGGCTGACCTGGAGGAGGTGGCACAGCGGAAACCTCCCAACAAGTCCTTGCTGAGTGGCTGTCTCCACAAGACCAGGTGGGACTGTGCCCACTGGGGGAATGTGCCCAGACCCTGCTGGGCACCACCCACCCCAGCCCCACTGCCATGGGAAGCCAGGCTCTGGCTGTCCCAGTCCCTGCAGCAGACACAGTGCAGACCCTGGGCTTGGTTCTCCCAACCCCAAACAACTGTGTCCACACTGTTTTCCTGCTTGGAGGGACACCCAGCCCCAGAGGATGGAGCTGGGGGTCCCACAGGACCCATTCCTTCCCATGGGGCCCCATCCACCCTCACTGATATCCCCAAGCCCCTGTGCTCAGCCCTGGCTCCTGCCCCTTCCCCACCAGATGCTCAGCCTCCACTGCCAAGTCCCTGCTCTTCCGCTTCCTGCCCTTCCTGCGCTGGCTGCCCCGCTACCCAGTCAAGGACTGGCTCCCAGGGGACATCGCCTCGGGCTTCAGTGTGGGCATCATGCACCTGCCCCAGGGTGAGTGATGCCATGCCCAGGCTGCTGGGGGCTCCCCACAGGAAGGGGCCAGGGCTTGGCCATCCATGACGTGTCTCCCTTCTCCACCACATCCAGGACTTGCCTACGCGCTGCTGGCCGGGCTGCCGCCTGTCACTGGTCTCTATTCCTCCTTTTACCCTGTCTTCCTTTACTTCTTCTTTGGAACGTCCAGGCACAACTCCGTAGGTGAGCTTAGGGACCACATGCTCCTGCAGGGATGGTGGGGAGGGAGTGAGGATGAGAGGGACAAGACTTCATCCGTGGCACAGCATTGCCTCAGTGGCTGGGGGGAGGGGGAGGTGTACCTTTCTTGCCTTTAACTTGTTCCACCAGGAAGATGGTTGGCCAAAGCACCGTGGGTGTGCTTTGAACCTGGCCCAAGGGGACAAGTGCCTGTGGACCTCAGAGAGGTCTCAGTGTTGACCTTGGGTTCCCTGCCCACACCCTGCCTGTCCCCAGGTCCCTTTGCCGTAATTTCCGTAATGATCGGCAGTTTGACCGACTCCCTGCTGCCCAGTGAGAACTTCCTGGAGTTTGTCAATGGCACAAACGTGACGATGGTCAATGAGGAACGACGTGATGCTGCCAGGGTGGAGCTGGTGGCCACCATCACTGTCCTGACAGGCATCTTCCAGGTAAGGGATGGGACAGAGAGGCATGATGCCCCATGGCTGCAGGACAACCCTTTCCTTCCAGGAAAGGAAGGTTTCCTTCCAATCTTTCCTTCCAGGTGGCCCTGGGTCTCCTGCAGTTTGGCTTTGTGGTGACCTACCTCTCAGACCCCCTGGTGCGCAGCTACACCACTGCTGCCTCCGTGCACGTCCTCGTCTCCCAGCTCAAGAACGTCTTTGGTGTCTCCCTGGCTGAGCACTCAGGGCCACTCTCACTATTTATTGTGAGTTGGGTTTGCTGCTGCCCTGGGGCCCCCTGAGCACTTGTCTGTGGGGCACAGGTCCCCAAAGATCTTTGAGGGAAATATTTGCTTTCCTAAGCCTGTTCCCTCTGCCTGCTTCCTCTAGACCTTCATTGAGATCTGCCGGAAGCTGCCAGAGACCAACATTGGCACCCTGGTGACAGCCATCATTGCCATGGTGGCCATCTTAATTGTGAAAGAGCTCAATCACAAGTTTGCCTCCAAGCTGCCCATGCCCATCCCCATCGAGCTTTTCACGGTACCCAGAGCTTCCCCAGCTCCCTGTGGGATGCAGCCATGGGTGGTCCTGTCCCCTGCAGGGTGGGGAGGGGTTGGATGGGGTGCCTTGGCAAGTGCAGCTCCAAGGCATGCATCCCCTCATCCTCCTCCCCCACCACGGTCCTGGAGCAGGAAGGCCCTGCCTCACTTCAGCCATCCTCCCCCAGATCATCATCTCCACTGGCATTTCCTATGGTGTCAACCTGAACGCCAAGTTTGGCATCTCCGTGGTGGGCAACATCCCCAGTGGGTGAGCAGGGCTGGGGTAAGGGTGGCTGTGCTGGGTCACCACACCTCCCACGGGATCCCCCTTTTGAGCCCCTTCTCCCTGTCTTGGCTGTAGGTTGAAGCCGCCCGTGGTCCCTAACTTCAGCTACTTTGGGCAGGTGGTGGGCAATGCCTTTGCCATTGCTGTGGTGGGCTATGCCATCTGCATCTCCCTGGGCAAGATCTTTGCCCTGAAGCATGGCTACAAAGTGGACAGCAACCAGGTGATGCTCCAACACACAGGGGCGCTTCCCTGGGTGAAGACAAAGCCTGAGCTTCCTGCAGCTGGGGGATGGCATGGTGCTGCCCCACCTCTGCTCTGTCCCTGCAGGAGCTGATCGCACTGGGCTTCTGCAACTTCCTGGGAGGCTTCTTCCAGTGTTTTGCCATCAGCTGCTCCATGTCACGGAGCCTGGTGCAGGAGAGCACAGGGGGCAACAGCCAGGTGGGTGCTGCCTCCCTCCGTGGGGCTGGACCAGGGCACAAAGAGCACAAGGAGTAGCAGGGGGCTCACTTCTGTCATCCTGCTCTCAATCCTCAGGTAGCTGGTGTCATCGCATCCCTGGTCATCCTGGTGACCATCCTGAAGATCGGAGAGCTCTTCCGGGACCTGCCCAAGGTACATCTGGCCTCACAGCATCCATGTCATGTCCCACCCCTGTGCTTGTCCCATGGCGAGATGGTGTGGGAACAGCCAAGCTCCGCCCCCCCCCCCAAAAGTGGTCCCCGCCTCCTCACGGACGCAAACACACCAAGGTACATCTGGCCTCACAGCATCCATGTCATGTCCCACCCCTGTGCTTGTCCCATGGCGAGATGGTGTGGGAACAGCCAAGCTCCGCCCCCCCCCCCAAACGTGTTCTCAGCATCCTCACGGCAGCAGAGACATCTCTCCTAGGCCATCTTGTCTGCCATCATCATTGTCAACCTCAAGGGCATGTTCAAGCAGTTCAAAGACCTCCGCACGCTCTGGAAGTCCAACCGGGTGGACCTGGTAAGGCATAGACCTCCTTGTCCCTGGAGAGGGTTTCTCCACCTTTCCTGGGGCTCACAAGATGACAGTGACCATGTCCCCCCTCCAGGTAGTCTGGATCGTGACATTTGTGGCCACCCTCACCCTGAACTTGGACATTGGCCTGGGGGCCTCAGTGGCCTTCGGGCTACTCACCGTCATCTTCCGCACACAGCTGTGAGTACCCTGGGGCTGGGAGCTGGTGCCACGTCCTGAGGGTAGGGGAAGCCAGTGGTGACCTCAGCCCCTTGCTCTGCTTCCTGCAGCCCCCACTACTCCATCCTGGGACGCATCTCCGACACTGAAGTCTACAGGGATGTGGCCGAATATGAGATGGTAACCACAGCAGGGAGTGGGAGAAGAGCTGCCTGCAACGGGGATGCATCTTGAAGCACCCCCAGGGGCTGCTCAGTGGGGAAAGGAGAAGGGAGGAATTTGGGGGAGGGGAGCAGAGAGCTCTGTCCCTGGGGTAGCATCCTTCCTGGCTGTCCCCAGGCACAGGAGATCCCTGGCGTGAAGATCTTCCGCTCGTCCTCCACCCTCTATTTTGCCAACGTGGAGCTGTATGCTGACGCCCTGAAGAAGAAGGTAGGAGACCCATCAGCCCCCCTACCCCGGTGCTCCCCATGCCCCCCGCCTGCCAGCACTGGGGTGGTGGGGGAGTGCCTGGGGACACGGGGTTGCATTGTTTTGCAGAGTGGTATCGACGTGGACCGCCTGATTGAGAAGAAGAAGAAGGCCCTCAAGAAGCTGAAGAAACGTCAGAAGAAAGCAGAGAAAGAGAAGGCAAAGATGAAAAAGGTGCTTCCCTGCTGTGGGGGACCCTTCCCATGCCATCCTGCACCATGGCCCTGACTGGCTCTGGCATTTGCTGGGCTTGCTGGCCTGTGGGGCTCCCAGTTCAGTCTGTGGGCACTGGGTGAGAAAAGGCACTGGGGCAGATCTGGGCCATGGATTCACACCCAAGGTCGGTGGGGACAAGGTCGGCTTTAGGGAAAGCTGGGCTGTTAATGATTAGATGGTGGAATTAGTGAGTCATTAGCCATTGGGTGAGTTAATCAGAATTAAGAGTAAGAGCAAAGGCTGACCTGGCGCCAGCTATTAAGCCTAGATCTGAAGAGGGTCACTGGGGAGAGGGGTGGGTCTTGAGGAACCAGGAAAGAGCCCAAAAGTGGGTCAAGGTGCAAGTGAGGTGCCCACTCCCAGGGCCACCCACTGCCCGTGCCCTAAAGTGCCCAAAGAGCCTCACCAGACCCCACTGTGCTATGGGGCAGGGCAAACCAGGGGGGGGGTTACACTGCCTGGCCCCCGCCAGGTCCCGTGCAGTGAGGCTGGGTCTCCTTCCCTCCCCCAGAAGGCAAAGGACGGGCAGAACGGCCCGGGGGTGGCGGTGATCGAGCTGAGCGAGGCGGAGGGCAGCCCCCCCC